AAGGTGCACTTTGCATAATACATTAGTATTTATAGTCTCCTCATCTCCGACAAACCGTCGGCTTTTTGTATTCAGGCTAAGAACTGGGTGTGTCACCGGGCTTAACCAGACGTACTTCCACCTGAGGAATTTAAAATACACAGTTCAATAGTTTTCCTCATTTGAAAACTTCTAGTTTTCACTCTGATTCTGACTTGAACTTAAGTTTATTGGAGGACAAACCGGGGACGGGGGGATTAGAGCACCTTCATCCTGAGAATGGAAGATAGCAAACATGTGGGTTAATTATGAACTTCTTTGTCTTAGCGCTAGTGTAATTATAATGAACTGGGCCGGACCTCCACTCCTCTCACATTAGCCTCTTTTACCTGTCCAGTATCAGAGAATGAAGTTTTAAATTAGTCATCACAACTGTGTGATAAGTCGGCTATTAATGACTTGAAGAGGCAATAAACTGGAACATTCCAGAGATGTATTTAACTGGAAACTCTCTTCTGTTAATGTTCTCTGCAGGCGAAGAATGGTGCCGTCAAAAATATAGCAAAGTCTCACGAGGTTAATTTGATGGAAATCCTCTTTTTTAATGTGGATACTGACAGAATTTTTCAAAAAAGGTTTAAAAATTTGAATCTAAAATGCTGTTTTGAAATCAAAGGATTTTATTTTCCTCAGCTTATCTTTGCTTTGATGGTTTTGCTCAGTGATCAGTGTCTCATAATTAAGCTCTTCATAATCTCTGTTTCATGTGATTGCTAAATTCTGTTACCAGGAGCAAAGCTTTTATTCTCTTATGATTGTTATAAGCCAGAATAGATTGGTCAGCCCCAGGTCCTGACTCCAGGTCCTGACTCCAGGTCCTGACCCAAGGTCAGTACCACTATGCCCTGGCAATAATAAATCAGACGGTGAGGAAGACCTGCAGTAAAGTGTTACATGTTGATGGATTTGGGTCTTGTTGTCCCGGATACAAATCTAATCTTTCAAAGAAGACGTTTTTTTTCGTTGTTGTTTGAGCTGACATCTCAACCTGCTGCTGCGTCATCACTTCCAGGTCCACCAGGGTGATACATCACCTACTGTACAAGTGCATTTCCCTCTCAGTGGAAATGTGCAGTTCCTGCCATTGGTCTTCCTTCGAAGCTCATTTGACATTGGTAGAAGATTTTCAAGGAGCAACGCAGCTCCATTTTCACACAGGCCACACCTGCTAATGGGCTTCTGAAGGCTGAGCTACTCGTCTTCATCTTTAAGTGTCCTGATGAATGTGAAGTAGATCTGGGCTACGCTAAACATAAGAAACCGATTCCACTTTAAATGACAGGAGGAAATACATTTAGATTTTTGTGCAGTTTTCATGGCCCATTGTGTTCAGTGATGACTGACTGGGAAACTCAGTCAAGTTCTAAAAATCTGTCATGTCATGAGAAACAACTCCCGTTTCGTATAGATGTGTCAATCTTCATGACTGTTATGAAAAAAAAAAACGTTGTCTCTTATTCGTCCTACAATCAGGATACTCACAGTGAAAGTCTTTGCAACTAAAACAAGCTGCCACAGGAGGCACTGTTAAGTATGTGGTTCTTCCACGGCTGGAACCCAGGACCTTCTGCGTAAGACAGGTGTAAGATCTGCTACACTATGGAACCATCAGCCATATTGTTAACCATAGAAATGGATCTTTTTTGTTGTTAATACCACTGCTCGTAGTTCAGTTTTTTCCGCGTTTGTACACAGGTTAGGTTAGTTTTATTACACAGTGACCATTGTGCTGTCTTCAATGGCCTGTTTGTAATTGTTAATGCTAAGAGCAAGTGTGTAGCAAAAATGTCAGCTAAGAAAACAGTGGTTTATATTCAGTCAAGTTGACTTACAGCATTGGAGCAAAATGAACAAGTGTTTGCATCCAGCTGTACAACTGACACAATCAATGTAAATCTCCGAGCCCATCTGTGGCACAACTATTAGCTCCTGCTGGACGAATTGAAGAATTGGATCCTCTGTCCAGGTCTCTTTCTCCTGAGCAGAATCAGAAAAGTACAGAGTCTCTGGTGAATTTCCTTCATCTACAGAAGTGTTATTGGTAAAAAAAAAAAAAATGTTGCATTCTAATTTAAGGCCGAAAAGGAACATAATGTTCATTAAGTAAACTGTGATCTCGTTTGAAGGTAAAGATTCAAAATAATGCACTTGTGAAGTCAAACAGAAACGTTTCACAAAAAAAGAAAAAGATTTTGTCTCCTGTGTCTCTGCTCCCATGTCTCTGTGTTGTTGTGTCTTGGATTTACCACAGCATTTATCCGTGCTGGAGCTGAACATCATTTGAGACTGTGAAATCTTTGTTGCTCGTCTGGCACAGAAGTAAAAACAATTACCAGGAGTTTTTTATGCCTTGGGGCTGTTTCCTCATCTGTTCCAAGTCTTTCTCTCTTGCATCTGTTCTCTCGCTCTGGAGAAGTGATACCCAGAATGTGTCCTGGATATTTCTTCAGTTGGGACCTTTTCACATTACTGTTTCATGACCCACCATCAACGCCATAAGAAAGTGACTTTTCCGAGCCAAGCCCAGGCTTTCCAACATTTTGTTTTTGCCTTTTCTGTTTGCTAAATATTAATTATCTGGGCTCAGATATTTTTGGCAAACTAGCAGCTCGCCTTATTTGAATTGAATTTAGGCCTTCTTGTCTAACTGTCATGAATTTCTAAACTTTTTGCTATTTCAAGCCATTTATTTTTTGAAATTTTTTGATTTTAAATGTTTGCTATTGCAGCCATAAATCTGTTGGTTTAAATGTCAACAATTTTGCCTCTCTTTTAGCTTTTGGGCCCTTTTTAATGTTTATTTTCACCCCCGCAGTAGACTTTACAGTTGGTAATACAAGTAGATTAAATAGTGCCCCCCCCCACCTCCTTTGAGTTTGAGACCCCTGACCTAATGTTTTAGAAAAATACTATCTATCTCTCCAGCTACAGTGACTTACTCACTAAATATCAATACATATATGAAATATATATATTATATATTTATCAACACAGCCAGAAATGACAGCGATTACTGTTTCAAAAGGCGACTGATGTACTTTCAACACAAATTCTTTTTTTTTAAATATGATGCTGCAAAGGAGGGTAGCACAAGGAACTAAATTCCCACAGATCTCAGTGTGAGTTGTTATTGAGAAAAGGATCAAATGCCTTGAAGCATTAGTGAAGGAGCTCCCCTCCCCCATCTCCCCCCATCTCCCCCAGCCACCCATACCCTCCCCTGTGTGGGATTTGGTCTTTCAGTGTCTCAGCTCTAAACTACATGAAAGAGACACGGTGTGTGGGAGACTAACTCCCTGCACTGTTGACTGTACCACCACCACCACCACCTCCACCACCACCACCTCCACCCACCTCCTTCTGCTCAGAACTGGAGGTAAATATTCTTCTGTCCGGTCGGCAGTCACACTTACTGCAAGGAAAATCTTGCCCTAGTTTCAGACTTGTAACATGGAATACTCGTATTCCAGGAAGCTCGTATCTCAGGCGTTTCACTGTATATTCATTATAATATACGTATATGTGACTGTGTGTGTTGATATTTCAGACTTCTAGAGCCAGTGGCTTATGCTGTCCTTTTTCAGTGAAAGCTGAAAATCAACTTTTTGAATTAAAACCCCAGATAGTCCATCACTGTTTTTCGGTAACAGCGACAGTGTCAGTGAGATTTATTTAAACCCACAAAATGACTTATTGGAAATCAATGACAGAGAGAGCAATAACTCAGCAAAAACATTGAGTTATGGATTTGAATAGTTGATTTTTGGTTTGGAGAGTTAGTGGTTCATGAACATGGCTCCTTTCTGAAAGAAGTTGTGCATTTTATAAACTGTCTGCACCGATGCACTGATGTTGTAGAGCTGCACTGAGGAGCTTCTCTCAGTCTTCGCTCAAAGACAAAAGACATTCAGACGTCTTGGGAGACTGACATCCTCTTTGTTCCTGAGTAACTCTACATGTCAGCTCTTTTGTTCCGCTATCGCTCGTTTAGATAAAGGCCCACTCCGCACTTTCATCAAACTCCAAATCTCATCAAATCCCACATTAAATATCCTCTCATTTCTTCAGTATCTTCTCATTCCTGCCTGGCCACCGTGCACTCACTGTGCGCCTGTTCAGATTTAACTGCAGCAAATACATTCATAGATCCTTAATCTTTGAGCAACCGGTAAAAGAGAACTCAAAAATGCTTTTTAAAAAATCGTTTTATCTATTATCAATCCCCGAAAGACAATTAAGCCAAGCAATGGATGAAATCTTCTTGGCTGAGTCGTACGGCCGCTCGCCGCTCGAATACTAAAGACTTTCAGATATATGTGCGCTAAAAATGTCAGATGAGCTGAGGTGAAACCATCGATTCATTCAAGCAGGTATGGAATCGTTAATGGTGTTTTTGTCGCACCCTTGAATCGCTGCCCACCTGCTGAGCGTGCTGCGGTCATGAATATTCATGCATGTAAATCTGACTGGAACTTTCACCAGGTCGGAATCAATTTTGACCAGGTCAAAGCCTAGAGACAGTGACACTGTTCATATCACAGGCTCTAGTGGACTTTTATAATGATTTTCAAGGGCGTGTAATAAATAAATAAAATAGAATCAAAAACAATAAAAAGCAAAGATAAAAGCTTAGATCTTGGATAAGAAATAGTTGAACCAGAATATGTCCTTATAAATATGGTTAATAAGTACTAACCTCAACTACTAGTTAACGTTGGTCTTAAAGGTCACTTTGTCTCTATTTTGTCCTTATGTCTTTCTTCTGTCCTCACAGATTCTAAATGCAGTTCATCACTTCCTTTTCAACAACAAATAGTCGTTGCTCCACAGTCCACAGTATTAAATCTTTACAGTTGCCCCCCGTGTGTGTGTATGTGTGTGTGTGTGTGTGTGTGTGTGTGTTGCCCTTCATCATCATCATCAGCCTCCTCACACTTGTTATTTTGTGTCCTCCCCTGCAGGGATCTCCGTCAGCATCTCCACCTTCAGTCTTGTGGCCATTGCCATTGAAAGGTACAGCGCCATCTGCAACCCGCTCAAGTCCCGCGTGTGGCAGACGCGTTCGCACGCCTACCGCGTCATCACTGCCACTTGGGTGCTGTCGCTGCTAATTATGATTCCGTACCCTGTGTTCAGCAAGATCAGAACCTTTCCAAAGAGCAATGGCACAGAGGGACGGATGTGTCGCCTGGACTGGCCCAGTCAGGCCGTGGAGCAGAGCTGGTGAGCACATTATCACAAAGCAACAGCTTTACCTCAACAAGGGTGTGTTTTTTTTTTTTTTGCAAAAACAGGTGTTAAAGTAAATAGAGCAGACACACCAGTCCACTGAAGAGTGTAAATGTCTTGGTATCTATCTTAGTGATTCCAGTTCGATTGTGCAGTGAATTAGCTGCCAAATCTACAGCTGCCGACCAGCGCCTGTAAATGGGTGTTAGAACAGGAGAGCCCAAAATAACCACCTGTAAACACTTTCACAGCTCTGTCATGTCATTATTTTCACACAGGACAAGTCAGCGATTGAATTTCAAGTTTCAATTTGTGGATCTGTTAAAAGACCAGAGTGAGAGAGAAAAAACAGGCATCACTGAAAAAAAGAAACAAGTTCAATAAACCTCTGATCAAAACTATAAAACAAACAAAAGTGTCCTGCTTTTCAGAAACATTGTCGTACGTCAAAGATGTCAACGTGTCATCGGTTCAACCATGAGTGGAATGGCCGTTACAATGAGGGCAAAATACAGCCGTACAGGTCAACAACATTAGTTCAGGTATAAAGACTCGCTCTAAAAATAAGTAGCTCAGAGTGGAGGTCACAGTATTTATGTACAGATCTATGTCGCTCAAATATGTTCAACCGTGAAACACAGCTTTGAATGGATGCATTTCTGCCAATGCATTCTGTCAAAAAACACAACTGTTGTGCTGAAACACATTTCCCTAATATGGTAATAGCCGGTTACTGTCAAATGGTCAAAGGAAGACTGGACTGGAGTCATGGGAACAAGTGTCTGTGTGAGGCTTTCATATCAACAGAGTCAAGCCAATTAAACCACTTCCTCCAGTCCCATAAGAATGTTTTTGATTTGCCATGTTGCTGCACTGGTGATGTTTATCTCTGGCTGACTTAATGACAAAGTTGTAGCACTTTTCTTGGTGTTTGGTGTTTTGTTTTGAACTCTGACACATGTCAAATGAGGGCGTCCAAGCCTAGAATAAGGATTTCTTTGCCTCTGGCTTTTGTTGCAGTAGAGGGGTTGGTTTGAAGACCGAAGTGTCCAACCAGACAAGGCTTTCTAAAAACATTGATAGAATTAACCAAGTAAAACTGGTCTGGTCTTGTTTACCACGCTAACTGAAAATATATTAAATGACAAATAAATATAAAAAATATTCACTGGTTCCGTTTGAACACCTGAATGTCACATCGACTTAGACCTAGGCCACGTCGAGACCTGACATCTTGCTTTAATAAGGTCACAACCAACGTTTTTCAGCATATTCTCGTGGTATGACCACTGACCTTTTGAGATAATGCAGCCTACTCATTACACCTTAATGCGCGATTTATTTCACATGATGAGAATTGTCAGGCATTTGTATTCTTTACAATTGATTTGCGACACATCGTTTCATCCCGGTCGATCACCAGTATTTGACACAATAAATGAAAATAAATGAACTTTAACAAGAACATTTTCATTTTCCTCTATGTCCTGTGCAGGTTTCATATGTCCACTACATTTACACAGTGGGAAATCCCAGAACAATTACTTTACAGCTTTATATTCAATATATCAAGACTTTTATGGTTTTCAACCTGCCATGTGACGTGCCAGTGAATTGTCCAGGGTCTACCCCACCTTCACCTGGGAGAGGCTCCCGTGACCCCATCCCCTTCTAACACCTCTCCCACACTCCCACTACAACCCCGTAAAGAAATACGAGGTAAATACTCTGAACCCCATGATCTGGTCGACCGTGAACTGATTTTACAGAAAAAAACATTTTCTTTTTTTCAAAGAAAATTTGCAAATTGCGTTGCTGTACAAACATGTAATCCGAATGTAAATATATTCAACTCTCCTAGTCCTCAACAGTTTGGGAAGCAACACATAAAAGCATGCATTTTTAGGAACACCGAACCGATTTTTCCCCAACAATGTGCATACAGTATATAATGGAATGCAAATGAATAAAATAAATATTAGCTGAAGCTTTTAGCATTTAGGTAGTGATGGCACAGAAAGGTCATTTTTGATTCAAACCTGTGAACAGAAGCCTTAAGGATGGTTAACAAGTCAGAGTGTAAAATGTTAATGAACTCATTATGTGGTGGATTGTTGTTAAAGATCCAAAGATGAGCTTCTGTTTGACTTTAATTAGAAACTGTACTCAAAAGGCCAGGGTTTTCAGGAGAGCACGGTCACTGCAGCATTCAGGGGAGCTGAATAGGAGAGTAGAATCTCTGTAGAAGGCAGTTTTGTGTGTGTGTGTGAGTATGTGTGTGTGTGTGTGTTTGCCATTATGGTAGTCGAAGACTGCGTATGTCACCATTAGGCCGTTGTTTTATATCAGAACGATTCTTTTTCCACGGCTTCACGCTGAGAAACAGGCAGAGGTAAACTTTACTGAAAGGTCAGCGGAGTAATGATCAGTCCCACCACGGCCAAGGTTTATTGTGTATCAGAATGGTTGACTACACTGCTACAGGCTCGCCAACGACCAACAAACCCAACTGCATTGTTAGAGAAACATGGACGTATTAGCAGTTAGGAGATAGATAGTGTGGATCTACTACTGTGGGATGGAGTATCTCCCAGGATCTGTGGATGAACCACTGTCTGCAGGAAGGCACCATTAGAATGAAGGAGGACGCTGAACACCACTGAAACCTTGTACATCACTGGACTTGACAGGCTTTTTTGGTCAATCTCTCTGAAGGGATCTTTTTCTTTTTCTTTTTCTTTTTCTTTGACAGTCTCTTAAACCCCTAAGCTTCTCTGGGAGTTTCTCATTCATAGGAGACCAGCTAATTAGTCTGCTCTGTTTAAGAGAATCAGAAGGAGGAGGAGGAAGCATAAAAGAGAGACTTAGATGTCAAACTTCCAGATATGTCAACGCCAGCAGGGCGCTATAAAGCTTTAATTGACAGTGTAACTGCATGTGCTGAGATAATCTCTTAAACAGCACTGAAATTAAGGAATAAAACTGAGAGATCACATTTGTCATCTTTACGCTAATGAAAAAAATGGCATCAGGTCTTAAAGATATTCATTCACTGTGTACGATGTGATAATATGGAAAATAATGGTGGTATAATTCATGCAAAGGCATCATGTAAACAGAACTACCCCACCAAAAAAATATATAATTTAAATATAACAACACAACAGTTGCCTTTTTTATTAAAAGTTTACATCTATTAATGGACACCCAGATGGAACCTCATCCATCACTGAGTGCCTTTTGTGGACAGCGGTGCATTTCCAGCACCTTCCCCCTGCGTGTTCCCACTCTCTGGTGCAGCTCCACCTGCTGACAGTCTTTGTCTCACAGACTCTCTGTATCAAACGGCAGTCTTTGGTCTTTGGTAAATAGGAAGTGACAGGGTTCAGAGGGATCCCCAGTCTTTTTCCATCCCCGCTGGTGCTTTCATGTGCTGACTGATGTTCACCACAGATAGCGGTGTTTAAGAAGTACTTGGGCTGAATAAGACGAATCAAAAGAGACACATGTTTGGCTGAAACGAGCATATGATCAAAGCCAAATTGGTGCTTTATCCTGAGCTCATTTGTTCTCCGCTTTACAACAGTCTCCTGTCCCATAAACATCTGCGAGATCCTTTAGGTGAAGCATTTTTGAAACAGCACTGCATAGTACGAGGTGAAATAGGCAGTGGTTTTATGGTGTTTTCATGGGCCTGTAAAATATATGGTTATCTTTTGTAGTTTCTAAGCAGTCACTCTTGTTCTTAGAGTGAGTGAAGGAAGTTCATTTATATGAGTGGTGAAAGACACCAGGGCGAGGTCATCGACTTGTGCTGCAAAACAGCACAGTACGGTGGGAGGTGTGCACATAGGAGCTGATTAGTAGTAGTCATGTGGCCAGCACTGGTGGTCACCAGAGAAACAATCAGCTCAGTCATTTGGCAGTTTTTTTACACAGATTGCCTTTCCTGGCAAACCCACTGTGTGTTATCTTGGGACCAAACACTAGGTGGCCTGGTACCATTTCCCCAAAAACTCACAGTAGTAATCAAACCCCTGTCTTTGGACTGAAAATTGACCAATCAAACGCTATCAATTCATCAGTTGACTAATCCAAGTTTTGTACTTTGAGATGATACACGTTAATACTTCTACACTGTCCTAACACTGACTTGGACAGAGGCTGAGTCGAAGTAGAGATAAGTACACAACCCAACTGTAGTCCTTGTCAACTATACTCAGACATGACTCTGAATTTAGAGTTTAAAATAAAGTAACTCTTGCTTTTCAAAATACAAAAGAATTTTCTAAATATTTTCACCGTTGCATAACACACGTAGACCTCTGACTGCAGTTTTGACTTATTCGTGCACATTCAAAAGAAATACATTGTTATGAAAACAAAAAGTTTTTCAAATGTATGTTCACGGGATTTTTGTATAAATTTTTATATACATTTGATATTAGTGCCAACATTAACATCTTTTTCACTCACAGCAGCCAAATGCTGTGTTTGTACAGACCTGCAGCTCCAGTATCTCCTGTCTCCTCCGTGCTTTCACGTCTCCATCTCTCTCAGCCAAGGCTGCACTGTCACGAGTTTTTTCCCTGCAGCACAGTTTGACATTTGTTCTTGTCTTAAGAAAATTAGTCCTTTGCGGTTTGGGAAAGCAAACTTCACAGTAACACCTCAGCCTCGGGACAAATACACAGTCGTTTCAGTGAACACGTGATATCAAATTATTATTTTTATGATCATTGTCGGTACCTGATGTCAATGATTGTAAGAGAAAGTAGAAGAAAATAGACATAAAGCTAGTGACAGGTGATACAAGTATTATTAAGTTGATACGATACCAATTTCATTATACCACTATTGATATTTTGTGTGATTTTTTTTCACCCAATAAAATAAATAAAAACATTTTTTAACCAAAACAATAATACATATTTATAGTTTAATTGCCACCATTAAAGGACAAAGATGTGACTTGACCACTGCTCTTGACCACTGCTCTTCTGGTCAGTGGTCATGTGACATGAATGGATCAGTAGCACAAAGCCTATAAGTAGTAAGTTACCCTAAAATATTTTTAGGGTAACTATACATTTTTCATTTATTAATTAGTTAGATACTGAACTTAATGAGAGTTATCGATACTCAGGTGAGTCCAACCTGGAATTCTTTTTCAGTTGGTGGAAAATTCCAGCATGTTTAGTATTGCTTAAACCAGTGATTCCCAACCACTGGGCTGTGGCACACTAGTGTGCCGTGAGAGATCGTTGGGTGTGCCGTGGAAAATTATCCAATTTCACTTAATTGGGTGAAAGTGTCTTTCATCAATTCCTGCCGGTATATCAGCGTTGTCTTCAACTAAACAGGTCCAGATTTTAGTCAATTATGAGGTCATTTAAACTAGAAGATTATTATATTTCTTTTTTTTATCTATTTATCTACTTTTTGTGAGATTTTTGTTTGGTGGTGTGCTGTGGTGTTTTGCCTGATGATATATATGTGCCGTGGCTCAAAAAAGGTTGGGAAACACTGGCTTAAACAACTCTAAGGGAAAATAAAATGAGACAGTTTGACGATTGAAGATTTACACATTGATCTTTCTGTCTTTTATGACATTGTGTGCTTGTTTTTCAGGTATGTGTTGCTGCTCTTCATCCTCTTCTTCATCCCGGGGATTGTGATGATGGTAGCCTACGGCCTGATCTCCAGAGAACTCTATCGAGGCATGAAGTTCGAGCTGGGCCAGAACACAGAGAGTGCTGGTGAGTTTCACGATCGATTCAATCATAGCAGAGGACCAAATCGATTCCAGTCACAGCAGGAACAGCAGCATCTCCTCTGGCTTCTTAGGTGAAGCAGCAGGGAATTACATTAGAAAGAGAATAGGGTGCAAAATATCATTAGACGGGACCAGTGCATTTCGAACAAGGGCAGTGATTCAGTCTTTTTCAGTCTTTAGGTCATGTGCTGTTCATCAGTCATGAGCCCTCATTCCCATATAACAGACAATTATTAGTATGTTCTGTGCGGTATGTTTTTTTGCCTTAAGCAGAGAACAACATTTTCTGCCTATAGATTCCACACCTGTTTCACTTGAAACCACTAGTGGGTTTTGGTCTCTACAGTACCTACACCAGGAGCCCAGGTTTCCAAGGAGACCAGTGCAGTGTGAGAGTTTATGGGCATACTACTGTTATCATACTTTTTTTTTAAACAGAAGGAACGTCAACCAACGACTGTTTTGCATTGTTATGATTTCTGTTAAATAAACCTCCATCTTGATGGAATTATTGGATATACAGCTCGTCATTGTCCAAATGTGTTAAAGTGTTTTAAAAGTTAGAGTAATTATATTAAACTATACAAATAAAAGTAACGCAGGCGATACGTTCGGCCTAACACTGATATAAATAATGACCTTAAAATAAAACCAACTGGAATCCAACTCTGAACTAGGAAAGGATTCTCAACAATTATCTGCGTTGGTTGTTTTAAAAAAATCCTTAGTGTGCTGACGTCAATTCTGTTTATACAGAAGAAAACTGAGTAAGAAATATATAAAAAAGCTGTCTTTATGTAGATTGCAGTGTTCAGCTCTGCAGTTCCAACCAGCTGCACAGTGTACCCAGGGTTAAAGCTGTGTACCATGTTAAAAGATACTGTATGTAAAGGAACACTTGAAATCCAATTTGAGGAGCCAGAGAATAGACTTGGACGCATCTGTGGGCAACTGATATCAGTTGGATTGCAAACCAGCCAGCAGTGCTTTGAATTAGATTTGAGACTCATCACAAATTCTCATTTTATTCTTTCTCCCACTTCTAAATCCATGGTGCTGAGTCACAAGGTTTAATTTCTCGATCCATGTTGTTTTGTGAGACTATTGTGTTTATCACTGTCCTATTATTGTCAAAATCCTGGGCCTGTCTGCAGAGAAGGAGGGACATGTCAGGAAATGTTTTAGAGGTTAGTGTTTTAGTCTGTAGAAAGTGTACAGCTGAAAAAATGGAATCAGGGTTTGGATCTTAAAAAAAAAAGAAGCTGCTCAGAGCAGGTGACCTCCAGTTCACTGTCACTTCCTTTTATTAAACATTATTGTTAATGCTACTGCTAATGCATTAAAATAAAAATTAAAAATTTTTGCAGTTTAGAAGATATTTTTAAAATAGTGGTTGTCTAATTGGCAGCCGCCAGGGGGCGTTAGAGGGCCCAAGAATGTTGGAGGTTTTTGATGGTACCTGAACAGACCTCATGTGACAGCTGCAATTTGGACATGACACGTCATGATCTGTGTCCAGAAGCTAGTGCTGTTTGGGAGTCTTAGCATAGAACAGTTTGAGAACTGCAACTGATAACTGACATTTACCTTCAGAGTTATCTTACTGTACTGTTGGGCCTGGAACCACGCCCTTACAGAAAGGCAGTGGAGGTAGCAGATGTCAGCAGACTGCCACAAACTAACTAACCCTCGATCTTGACCCTCCACAGCCCAAAAGAACGGTGTGAGCAAGGCTGCTGCAGCAGCTACCAATGACGACGACGACGGCTGCTACGTCCAGGTAGTTAAAAAACCCTCCTCTGCTGTTGAGCTCCCGACCCTCTCTGCCTCATCGGGTGCCCCTCAGGCCAAGACTGAGCGTGCTCGCAGCAACACCAGCGAGGCCAAGCTTCAGGCCAAGAAGCGGGTCGTCCGCATGCTTTTGGTGATCGTGGCGCTCTTTTTCATCTGCTGGATGCCCCTGTATTTTGCCAACACCTGGAGAGCCTTTGACCTGAGGTCAGCGGTTAAAGCGCTCTCAGGAGCTCCCATCTCGTTCATCCACCTGCTGTCCTACACCTCTGCCTGCGTCAACCCCATCATCTACTGCTTCATGAACATGCGCTTCCGTAAGGCCCTGATCGCCACGTTTGCCTGCTGCTGTCGCAATCGCCTGTGCCGCCAGTTCCCCTGCTGCGGTAGGAACGGAGGAGAGGACGCCGTCACAGCAACAACCATGGCCACCTCGGTGTCGAAAGTAACCTACGCTACTGTCAGCACCACTGCCACCTAATAAGCAGGCTGTCAAAAGTTCATGGTCCATACTCGAAAAAAGTTCACTGCGTGCACCCTTCTGATGTTTCAGTGAAGTGTCTTCTTGTCTCCTATTGTCTTTTACAGTCTTCTTTTAAAGGTTTGTCCAGAGGTTGTGAGTATGGTCAGGAGGAACTCTCTGTGGTCTTTTATGTTTTCATGTATGAACATCCACAGTGTTGTATCCTGAATGGATTATCAAGTGCCTGTGCTCTCTGTGGGTCTCTGAGTTTGGTGGGATGGTTACTCACAAAGACATAATTATATTTAAGAGATAATATTCCAACTGGAACTCTAATCTTTACAACATTTTAACTATAGTTTGTGCCAAAGCTTTATTTCTGATGAACCACAAGTCTTGATCTTCATTTACAATATCTCTCGCTCTCTTTCACTCTCTCTCTCTCTCTCTCTCTCCTCTTTATTACAAAACTATATGAATTAAGGCTGTGCAGTTTGAAGAGGTAGAACCCAAAGTGTCCTCACGTCTCTGTCCCAACTGTAATCTGAAGCCCTTAAGTATGGTTTGTCTCACTACTCATTGTGTATAGGAGATGAAAACATTTGTTATCCAGATAAAAAGCCTTATGAATTTATCCTGCATATTTATTCTGTATAGACATATTGAGGAGAAATGTGCTTACACTATAATTATTCTTTGGGCCGTTTCACACAGGTTGTCCAACATGTTGTTGTTGTTATTTTTCCATGTTATTTATTTGTGTATTGAACTATTATCCAGTTGATGACCAATAGTGTTTTACTGAGTGACTTTGTAGCTGTTTTTGTCTCTGATCAATCTTCACTTGGGTTTGAGTTTTGCTTGTCAGAGTTACACATATGACACCATGACCATATGAGTTCATGGTGTTTTTGTTTTTTCTAATTTATTTTTTTTAAATCACTGTTAGGACTATTCAAAGGATGGATGGGAATACTCAAGTCAGTGTAAAAAACAACAACTTAATATCGAGGTGTGAAAGAACTGTTCTTAGTAAAAGCGTCACTCTTTTGTTCGATTGGTTTCAAAATATTTGTTTACTTTAGCTTCAAGATGGCAACAAATACTAGACTAGACCAAAAAACTAAAAACTACAAAATGACAGTGATTAATACAGTAAACTAATTTGAAATGTCAGCTATTTCCTGGGTGAGCTTGGGTCTCATTCGACTTGTCTGCTGTTTCCAGGACTGCTCTGGAACTGGTACAGAAGCTAGTTGAGCTAATGAAGACAACAGGACTAGCTGAGCTACTTCAGTTTGACAGACTGCAGTGTAATACTTGTCTTTATATTTCAGAGAATGGACACACTGTAGGGTTAGGTCAGTATACTGCAGCCTGATTCACAGAATACTGAATATAGGAATCTTATTGTGACCTACTATACATGAATGCTAAGTTGGCTGAAAAATGAGGCCAACATATTTAGTTTGGCCATATATTCTGTGTGAGGCCCAGACTTGAATCTATAAACTACACAAGGCCACAGCCAAATATTTAAAAGCAGTAAAGATTTTAAAATGTTAAAAATGTACTTCCTTGTTACTTGAGTTAGGGGACCATTCATTACATGGTGTTTTCATGAGAGAATACTATGTATACCAAAATGGTAGACCATATGATGTAGTATTTTAGTCACACAGTAGCAAATTCAACGATAAGCTTAGAACATCTCCCCGATGCGGTGACTGGATATACAGTAATCGTATTTATGATGGCCATAGTTTGTTGTCCCAGAATTACAACAGTGACTTCAGAGAACCAACGGAATTAGAACTGACACAACTGACTGTCAGTCTGAGCGAATCAAATACAACTTTTGTTTTGGCACAATGTATACAAGGTGTTACATGAGGGTCTTTAAGACTAGTCTTTACAGTGACTTCAACGACTTGCTTGGTTGTTCTGCTGTTAATACTGTCTAAAATATAAAACAGAAAGCTGGGACTGTTATGAAGAAATGTGAACTTTAAAATGTCTGTCAAAAATCTTGATGTTCATGCTTTCTGTACAGGTGTGTTGTATTTGGGTTTTTTTTACATTTGTCTTTTTAGCAATGACTGTCCTTTCTTTGAAGTTAAAATAGTCATGGTTTATGTGAATATGTAAGAAAGAAAATTCACTTCCAACATATTTAAAAACTGTTTTTCTGTGTTACTTTAAGTGTGAAAAGGCCTTGATTGTGTCAGCCTTGAATAATAAATACCGGTGTGTAGCAATTTATTCGTGGTTATCAAACGTTTCTGTATGCATCACTCACTTTTATATGATAAAGGGCATCAAAGTCTGGGGGGAAAAGTTCTCACTAGTCAAAAGACATTAAAGTTGCAAAATACATCATACTGTCGTACCTTATCGTTAAGCAATATGTTCTGGTTTCTGCGTAGGAAAAATACTTATTACTCAATCAACAATGACACAGTGTTAATATAATAGGATGCTATTTTGCACCAAAGAAATTTAATTGGGTTTTATTGTGATAAATCACAGTAAAACAACATCTGTCATCAAGAAACTGAAGTAAAGAAAAGAAACTAGCAGGCAATCTGAAACGATATAATCTGCGTCTGAAGATTAGTATTCCGTCAGATTATTGGCTAACACACAACACTGTGTGGCTAACAACCCATTTATAGTAGTTGAACTTTACACAATTCTGCAGTATTGTGTAAACTATAAATATTCACATGAACCATTTTTTAAAACTTTGTTCATTAGTGACACTACCGGTATGCACTACTGGTATCATCATTGGTCAACACTAAATAATAAAAATTGCACACACATACGTTTTGATTCCTACGGCACGGTAATACGCAAAAGTCCACAGATCCAGTCGAAGAGATGTGGAATTTACTGGCTTGTTGCTCTTTTCTCACCAGAGGGTGGGTTCTTCAGACATGGACTCTTTTGTTGCTCAATTATCTGTGTCTTTGTCGTCACTGTAATTCACTGCAGTGCTGGGACTAATGAGGTGATTCTATGGGAGTTTCTTCTGCAGTGTGGGCCTCACGGCTTTGCCTTTAGTAAATCAGACTCAGGGAAATTTTCCACTTCTTCTTGTGCAGCTTAACTCTTCAACATTTGAGGTGAATGAAATTGCAAGTCAGATTGCCAAAACAGTGGAGCGTGAAGCTCAAATCCCAGGCTTAAAATGTATCAAGTTAATACACTATTAACTGTAGGAGTGAATTTAGGTATGGGTCAAAGAAGGATGTAAGAAAACAAACATGTACACGTACTATTAACAACACATCTGTGTAATGGACTGCCTTAGTTATATTTATTGTTTGCTGGTTAGTCCTAGGATTTTAGATAATTTATTTCTGCAATACATTGTACATCGAAAAGCATCAATTTGAACATAGTCCAATTATAATATTATTAAAAATTAAAGTGTTTGTTAATATAGTGGACTGAATGATAGACAACTTATTTCTAAAGATAGTAAAATGTCTCACTTTTTTTTTCAAGTCTTTGAACGTTTCACCCCGGTCCTGCTGTTTGTTTGGGTAATCAGGTGTCAGTCTGTCATTAACCAATTAGTGCCTATCAGAGGTAAGCGTAAACCACCAATAGCATTCTTCGAAAGGGGGTGGACCCAGAAAGAAACGAGAGTCCCGTTGGGAAAGCTAGTGTTTTTAGCCTCGCTAGTCGCTATCATTAGAATTACTACGGAAGTTATGGCTACTGCTTAGAACTTCCGCTGGTGTCGGTACACACGAATCTTTCTACGGGATTGGTTCCGACAAAACAGAAGAATTGAGGAAGCGGCTGTTCATCGCATTTGTATTTTCATGGATCAGTGAGTACGGAAAATGATTTTCTTCCAAGTGAGCTCCAACATGGTACCATAACTGAGCTTTACAAAGCCCCGAGTATTATATTATATTATATTCACTAAAACTTCTAATTAGTTCAATTACTCCGCTTTTCTATTTTCATCCGCTGTAAGTCTGTCCTGTCGTATTTATGGCATAGGTTTTAAATCGCTTTAGGCTAAGAATGCCTGGATGCGGTTCAAGGCTCTCTGACAAGCCAATCAAATCAGTCCACTTGCCAACGTAACTCCAAGGCCTTGCTATGCCAGCTTGATGCGAACTCAAAATCTAATTGGTTAGAGAAACAATCTCAATGCCATTCATTTCGTGCTCCCAGTGCCAGCACTATTGATTCTGAAGGCCATAGGACAGATTTCTTTCAACCCAACATGAGCCTGAAAAATGGTTGAATAAAAAAACTTTAGACTATACACGACTGAAAGCAGCGCAACCTAGAGGAAAGCCTGGAGCAAGAATGAATACTCTGTATTGTTTAATAATAATTTGTGATAAATACATTGAAAAATAATCACTAATTTTGATACTGTTTAGGCCAACAGAGAAGGCTTTGCTGGACTTGATGCTACACCATTTGTTATCACACATTTTTCAGAATCATTACTGTTTCAAACATGTACTGTACGTGGAGCGGCCTAAGAATACTTGATCAACTGTTCTGTCCTTGATTTTTTTTTCCTTGGACTCTACATTTATCAAGTGATATTGCGATATTTAAATATTCTTAGACCTCTGTTAGTGCTTGGTGTACTGTGTTGAATTGAATCACCAGGCAAAGCAATTTGAATCTAGAATAATTACCAAAACATTTTCATTAGCTAGTTCAAAATGTATTGTGACCATTTGTCTGTTTCATTCTAAGAAGTGTCTTGCTTTCATTAGTAAAACAAAATAGAGTAATACACCAGAAGTTGCATTATGCTTAACAAGCAGTGTATCATCTCATCTGAACTGGGTGAGAGTTTAATAAGGGTGTGCTTTAATATATAAACTTTGCTGATTCATGTGTAAAGTCTTTGCATCCTTTTCATCTTCTGGACATTTGTGGACTTTTTACCCACTACAGAATTCTAAACGCATTTCAAACAGCTGTTGCTGATTAGAAATAATAAGACTGGCTAATGTGTTTTCATCCCACAGTTTGTAGATTTCGCAGCTGTCACTGAATAAATCTCAGACCCTGTTCATGTGCATTATGAATAAACATAGCAACAAATACATCCTGTTCCCTTGAATTTACACTTAAAGTCTCACAGGAAGATAAAAATGTGCTGTTTTGGCTGCACTTCTATCTTTTGTCTCTTTCTTCCCAGCAGGTCGACCGTTATTTATGAATAATTAAAGTGAGCAAAGCTCCAAAGTTGAGCTCCTACCTTTGATCTCAGTTTTTAATGCAGTCTCTATGAAGCATCTGTATTTACTCTGTATTTACAGGCAGGCAGCTATATTATTTACTACGAACACTAGTTTGAGGTTTGGAAGACTCCTGGAAAATTGTCTTGTTGGTGAAATGCTGGTGTAACACTTTCTGTTCGAGCTGAATATAAGACTTGAACGCCACAGTGTGATGAGTCACTGTTGATTCTCCTCTTCATAATGCACCAAGCATTTTTAAGAGGAGAGGAATCTGGACTATAGGCAGGTCAGTCAAGTCATTTTAGAGATTCTACGTATATGAAACTATGCATTAGCATAGCAGAATGGCGTGGTCTTGTTTGAATATCCAGTTCCTGATTGATTGATAGAATTGCTTGGTTGAGTAGAATGGTAATGGAAATGCTAGATCAAATCAAATACTGTATGTCATGTGACATCTCTGTCCTCAGGACAGAATAACAGAATATAAACAACCTGCTATTCAGCACAAACAAACAGTCAACATGTGAGCTCAAGCAGATTGTCATTCAGACAACAGAAAATCACTGACGGTTTAAAACCAATACAGTGTAATATAGTTGTATTTCAGAACAATAGTGGAGTTTGTTTGAGTTGTATTGCGTGAACCATTGTCTTCAGTTAGTTTAAAACCTATAAAAGGACTCTATAGTCTTGAGTGCAACTGGTTAAGAATTTCAGAGTTCACAATTATGTTATTATGTAATTATTTTAGTGACATTCCAGTTGGAATATTGATTATCATTGACTTTGGTGTAGTGTCCGATGAGGTATTTTGGGACAGCTGTGTGCAGGACTTTATGGACTACGCACATATTTTTTATGTGCGAGACTCAACTTTTCATGTGTGAGACTTGTGTGTGTGTGTGGGTCTTCATCTTAGCCTCGGGAGACGAAGCCCCCCTAGGCTAAGATTAAAAAGACTTACACAGTAAACAGACTAACTCTTTTGGAGAGGTCTGGAGTTTGGTGGTTTGTAATTTTGTTATGTTTGAGAACCAAGAGGTAGAAGAGAAATCAAAATGGCTTTGGACCAGTTCACCTGCTGGTGCTTTCCTAGTGTCACTGTTGAATGAATGGAGATGTTCTTGCTAAGAATTTTGGGTCTGGTTGACTTTTGATACAACATTCTGTTTGTTGTCCAAGATGCAGCCCATCGTCTGAGTTTTTGATTATGCTATCCCTAAGAGATTTTTTAAAGATTTGGAACTGACCTAAAATAGAACTGATACAGTTTTTTTCTTAGGGATAGTTTATTATTGTATAGCCAGGTTCCTTTCTCTTAAATCTATTCTCTCTTTTTAACCTGCCATTTATCTGGATGTGAGAACAGAAGAGCTGAGTCATCTGTAAACTGGAACAAATGACAGTTACGTGTCATTTATTCTCTCAATAATACTGTTACATTCATTAACATGATGGCTACCGCTCCATACTATCGCAGATGTTGGATTTAAAGAAATAAATATATTTTGAAATCCATTTTCACCCAAAACAATGTGAAAATATTTGGACCACAGAACACAATTTATTTGTCCTTTAACCAAATATCAAAAGACAGATACATTTAAACTTGAAAAATGAAATTTAAGGGTTTGGTTTAGATTTCACTGTTTTTATTCTATAGTGATGGTTTTAGAGAGATTTCCATATAGCAGTGTGTTTTTATGTTAACAAACCACCAGTGGTGGTAAAAATAGTTTGAAATCTAAATTTTAGCTTTTAGGAGAGAAGAAAGGCAGATAACAAATAGATTTAACCAAAAAGCTCTTTTTGGAAAAAAAAAAAAGAAAATGTATGTGCCAGCCTTTTTTTGTTTGTTTTTTTTTCTTTTAGTGTCTTGTTGCTGTGCAAACTGCTCACTGTGCACAAAAGTCCATTGAGAAAATCAATACCACTTTTAAGCTCCCAGTAGTTGTTAGGTTATTGCAGCTTTCATGAGTAGTTAGTTTAAAATGTGTAATTTTTCACTTAATGCTGAGAATAGAT